ATAGAAAAGACAGAAACTTGAGCAGCTGTTGTCTTGCTAACAATAGCTGCAAAATCAACTGATTGTAGTTTTCCTGCCAAGAAAAGATATAAAACTCTAAATTTATACACTCATAGGAAAAAAAACATTTCAAAACTGCTTCTTCTGTGTGCCATTTTTTAAAAGTTCTTTGTTTTGGACTAATGTTGTCTTATTTGGTAGAAAGCATTGAATTGAAAGTACTCCCTGTTGTTGCACAAGCAGCATTTTTTTCTGGAGTGAAACTCGTCTCTTTTATTTTGAAGTTGCAGCCCGTACAGATTTTTTTTTTCAAAGCCAGCACACCTCCCACACACACACACGTATATTAGCAGCATGCCAATAGCTTAGTCATTGCAACTCTCTCTGAGGTTGGGCAGAGAAACTTCAGAGGATTAAAAAAATAAAAATAAAAAACTACCCAGGTAGATTATTTGAATGCAGATTTTAAAAAGGGTTGGACAGAAACACCTCTTCCTCTGAGGATCAAATAACCTCCCAGGCGGTAGGTCGTAAATTAAAATTAATTGGATTTAACTTATACCATGTCTTTTAAGTGGGATTATACACAATCCTGAGGGGGAGGCAGGGTCTGAATGTGACCTAAAGTTGGATTAAAGTACATCTTGGCCCGGCGTTTCCATTTCACCTCGCTTCCCTTGGTTCTCATTAACCCGCCTGCCGAGCCTACTGGGGAGGGAGGGAGCGGGGTTCAGAGCAGCACTGGGCTTTCGTCGAAGGCGAGAAAACGAAGCTGCCTCTGACAAGCTCTGAGCCACACAGAACAGATCGGAGGAAATTACAACAGGATTTTTTGGGAGGATTCTCGTGTGACCCTTGCCTGCTAAAAGGCCTTTAAAAGAACATACCCTATGTTTAGCATTAAACCGTCCAGGTTACGACTGTGTTATACTACATTCCAAACTGTTTTATCACAATTCAAGCCAACAGAAGAGAGCTGCTTTCTGTAGGGATTGTGATCAGGATAGCTAATGTATTCTCGGCTGAGCTACGGAGCTGTCTCTAAATTTAGAGGCACTTTGCTTAAACAGCGGTATGCAGAGGCTCCTAAACACACAAGTCCTTTTCTTTTCCTGTAAAAAAAAAATGTAAAAAAAAATAAATCCCCCTGCTGATTTCTCCTTTCTGGTGCCAGGGCCCTTGCTTTGCACAAGGAAGGGAGGTGGGGGGTGGGGGTTGTCTTTTCCAATCCAAAATGTCAAACAATAACACTGAAAACACAGAAACAACAAAACTGTCAAAGAATTTACGTGCCCCCCCCCCACCCCCCACCATCAAGATGGTGTGGAGAACTGCATAACCTACTTTCCAGACCCCCACCCCCGCTACAGCCCAAAAAAATGCATTCCCAGGGTAGAGGCGTGCTGCAGCGAAGCTGTCCTTGGTGCTGAATTCAAGCTCTCCGCTTCAGTCAGCGGTCCGAGAAACCTATTTTTTAAATCTCCGACTCGGCGCAGATTCGATTCTGCAGCCCACCAAGGACGGTGGCACATGCCAGTCTAAATATGGAAACTCCGTCTTCTAAAAATCTGCGTTAGGGAGGCAGCTGAAGAAGGTCGTGTTAAATATTTGAACAGGGGATGGGGCGTTCGACAGATGAATGGCAGTTGTGCTGTTTGGGGGAATCCATAATGGGTTCTGTAGTAATAGGAAGAGAATGCGATTCTACTATCAGGGATGATTAATGTTCCACTCCATCTGCAGACTTTTTACCTACCTAATCAGCCCGAGATAAAGGGAACATGAGTTTTACAGTTTTCTTAAATTCACCAGCAGAAGACTACAAGTATAGCTCATTGAGAATGCTTAATGTCATTCGTTTTTGTAAATTTAGCTCATTGTGTTTTATTTCAAAGACATCAAAGAAGACACAAAGTATTTTAAGACCGTTTTACAACTTCTGATTGCATAACCATCCAGAGCATCCTCTGGAGATTTTGTACACTTTTTCTTTCTACAAATATGCTACTCTTTGAAAAGGCAGGCCCCACTCCTTTCACACATCAAAGGCGGGGGAGTTTGACAAGTTGTCTGAAACACCACTCTACCGCTTTGGAAATACCTTGAACCATGCTTTTGCAGTTGGTTTCGCGTCGCCTCCTTCGCTCAGAAACTTGTCTCGAGGTTCTTCTTTGACCGTGCGCTGTTCATCTGTTAGTGCCTGTTCCACTATGGCCAGCTCAGAGTTCAGCAGCAGCAGCCTTGATACGAGAGCAGGAACCCTCTACATTCCTCCTAGCCACTTCCTGTCTTGTTCCCTCCGCGTCAAGCGTCGTTCCTTTGCCGTTCGTCGCTGCTACACGTCACTGGAGGTCCTGGGTCTTACAGAGAGGCTGGATGGGACGCAGCCGCAGCAAGCCATCCACAGCGACTTTTGGATGTCTGGGTTTCGGAAAGCATAGATGACGGGGTTGATCACAGAGCAGCAGGTGGCTGGGAGGACCGTGGCGTAGGTGTATATCACGGGGTAGCTGGAGTCGGCCACGATGGAGTACATGGCGAACGGCAGCCAGCACACCCCGAAGGTGCACAGGATGGCCGACAGCGTGGAGACCCCTTTGGTCGTAGAGATGGCCAAGAACTGGTGCTGCACGGCGATCTGCTGTGCGTGGCGGAATGCGATCTTGCAGATTTGAAGATAGAGCTGCATCATGAGGGCGAAGACCAGGAGGAAGGCAACGGCGAGCGCCACGGCGTTGTTTTTGGTGACGGGCCTGCAGATGCTGCACCTGGCCTCGTCCCGCAGGCAGTTCCATCCCAACGCCGGCAGCAAGCCGAGCGTGACGGACGACACCCAGATGAGGACCACCATCATGTAGGTGAAGGTAACTGTCCGCTCGGTGTGGTAGGTCAGGGCGTTGTACAGTGACAGGTACCGGTCGACTGTGATGGCGAGGATGTTGAGGACAGATGCCGAGAAGGCCGAGATGAGCAGTCCGACCGAAAGCAGCGTCACAAACTCCACCGAGTTGTCGATCAAATAGGTGAAGACAAAGTTCAAGATGAGACCCAGCCCAGCCAGGAGGTCCGCCACGGCCAGCGAACCGATCAAGACGAACATGGGAGCGCGGAGGGCTGGCGTGTAGAACAGCACGGCAATCACCAGAGCGTTCTCGCAGGAGATGAGCGTCCCAGTCACACACAGAGCAATATCCCAGGGGCTGACCTCCTGGACGGCCACGGCCGTGGTCGCCGGCTGGAGGTCAGGAGTTAAAGTCCGTACAACAGGCTCGGAGGAGGAGTTCGAAGGGTCCTCGCTCCAGGAGGTGGAGGAGTCGAAGGAATCAAGGGGGAAGGAAGAGTTGAAGCTGATATCGCTGCCGCTACTCACAGCTGCTATGGCAGCCAGGGAGAGAATCATAGCTGAGAAAAGAGGGAGGGAGGGAGGAAAAGGTGAAGAAATGATTGAAGAAAACAGATTCAGAGATGAAAGAAGGCAACTTTAAGTTAGTATCTCACTGGAATAAGACTGTTTTGATTTCACTTGGGTTTACAACGAACATACAGTATTTGCACAAACTAACGATAAAATTCCGGCCACAATTTGCCGTGAGTTCTCGTACAAATCAACAAAAAACACAGCTCGAGTGATCCTTAATGTTTGTTACAGACAGCACAGCAACTCTATGACAATAAGAGAAAATTTATTCAAATAAATGAGCTTTTCTTTAGCACACAGATGTTAGCGACATGGCATCAGCAGGTGGGGGAAATGGGGAGGGGGATGGGTTATTCCCTCCTTTTTTGCTTTAAGGTAGCGCTGAATCAGCTGTTAGGGTCTTTCAGAGGGAAATGGTTTTAGTTTCGGGGAAAAAATCAAATCTTGAGAATGAATTTGAGATTCAAGGAGGGGTATTATGCAAAGTTGACTTTTTTGCACTTTAGATCACCTTATGTAATTCCCTCATCAAACACATACCCAGAGTGTTGCTTTGACTCATTCATGCATGTTTGAGAACTCCTTGAATTTCCTGTAGCCATGTGGAGCTGCCTGAAGACTTGCTGGTGCAATTTATTTTGATATAAACAGCATTTTTCAACTGAAGGCAATGGTTACTTGATTGTGGTATAGGATTGAACTATTTGCCTGGAAAATATATAATAACTACCCTCCACACC